AAAAACCAAACTCAATTTACATTTACCTATCACTTTCTATTCTTTTCTTATTCTGGAATTTCGTAATTTGCTGCCGACAATTATCTTATCTTTTATACACTGAAAAATAGGCTATCTCTTAGTGACCTATTTTGTTTCTTATTGAACTAGTGCTAGAATTGAACACATATATAGTTTTTTTTTTTTTTTTACCTTGAGTTGCACAATAAGAGTAATTCTCTTCATCTCTTAATACATTTCACTTGTATATTATGTAATTTAAATTCAAAATTTTTAACTTCTAATATAAAGAAATTATTATTAAATTATTTAATTTGTTGGTACATATTTAACATTTTAAATTATAAGAATGGGAAAGCAACATATATATATATTTATTTATATTGTGATCATACAAACGGTAATAAAACAAAGAAGACGTAATAGGGAGAGGGTACCTGGACAGGATAGATACCCAAACGGTTGTAGGTCTCAACAAATAAAAAAGAGTAAGGAGTTTCTAATGATTATGGACACTTTGCGTTAACTATTGTTTGGATGAGCAACGACTTATTGGTTCGAGTGGAAGGAGTTCGATTCCCCTTAAATAAGGTTTTGAGCCATATTTTGAAACGAGGATCGGATCGGTCGGTCCGACTAGTCAGACCACCGCCCGGGGCATGAAACGGGCTAGGTTGACACCTAGGCTCGTTTGGACTGTTGGCCCATCCAAACTCGAAGAACTCGTTCAACCTGTTCCCTTCGGATGGCCTGGCAAACCCGTTGGGCGAATTGATCCAGGCTAGACGGCACCACCGACGCATGCTCTGTAAGTTTTTTTTTTCCCCACAGTTGGGGTTTCTAATTTCATTCCATTCTCAACTCTTCCAAGTTCCAACTCTCAACTCTTACCAGTTACCACAACCAAACAAAATCAAAAAACCCACATGTGTATTCATCATCCATCGCCATCCATAGATCGGGCAGCAAATCTTCATCATCCATCGTTCTCCTTCTTGGCTTCTCTAGTCTCCAGTCTCCATTCTTCAGTCTCCATCTCTTTTTTGGCGAAGAAGAAACCAAAGGGTAGTAGATCGGGCAGCAGATCGGCGTTCATTGTCTCTCCAGTAGATCGGTAGTCAGCAGGCAGTAGCAGGCAGCGGGCAACAGCAACAAGCAGCAGATTGACGTTCACCGACCAGCCTTGACCCACCACCACAGGCCTTCACTGTCCATCTGAAGGTGCTGCTGTTGAGTTGGACAAAATCCGTGTCACGCCCCAGAACCCAAATCCGAGGCGTAACAGACGCCGTGCACTCGTGAGAGGGTCCCACAAATGCACAAGGCTCGGAACTTATCCAATTCACATCTGACAATTCAATAACTTAAAATCTCAAGGTAAAATCTATCTCACAAAAAAAACATGATTTATTTCTAAAATCTATATCAATCTCAAAATGGCTAGCCTTCTAACTCGTCACTTCCCGTGGTTTCCCCGTTCTCGGTTTCACTTCCTGAAATGGTGGACAAGGAAAAACTATGAGATAAACTCAATAAGTAAATATGGATAGCCCTTGGGTAAAACTTTTAAGCATGCCAGATAAACCAGTTTAGCATAACAAATCACTCAATGACAAAATCAAATTCAGTTCACTTGCAAAGCATTCAATGACAAACTGTCAATGTAAGATCAGATTCAGTTCAATAACAAAACGTCTCATGTCAACCCGTTAATTAAACTCATAGCATGCCAACCCGTGTAATCACGAAAACAGATACAGTACGGGCATGAAATAGACGTCTCCTCTACAGGTCATGGCCAGTGTTTAAAACTCCCACTGGCAGGCAACAGAAATTGCTAGTGTTTAATCCCACTAACAGGATAAGAGAAACGAACTGGTCTATCAGTAACATGTCGACATGTGCTAGCGTTTACAACTCCCACTAGCCGGTTGTAATATCCCAAAATTTTGGGGGTATTTTAGCATTTAATTGGGGACTTATTTGAAGAAAAATATTGTTTTGGGGCTTAATTGTAAAATTTTAAAAGTTGAGGGACTTAAAAAGAAAAGAAATTACGATAAGGATGGCTGAGTTTTTCTTTCTTTTTCTTCATCCTTATCCGCGCGATCTGCTCTTCTTCTTCTCCTCTGCCGACCGAAGCCCCCAAGCCACCGACTTTCTTCCCCCTTGAAATGCCGGTGAGATCTTGATGAAATTCCTTCCTTTTCTTGTTGAATCACAAAATTTAGGACCTAGAATCTTCCTTCTCAACCCAGAAAAAATCCCAGTTCTGCTCTGCTCTTCTCCCCTGCAGCCAGCAAGAGCCCCAGCTACCGCCACCCATTTCCAGCTGGGAACACCGGCCAAGCTTGGGGATTTCTCCCTATTTTCTTGTTCTAGAACAGCCATTAAACCCAGAATTTCCAGATCTGTTCTGTTTTGCGTCTTCCTCCCTTTGTTGTCCGCCGGCTGCTATGTGGGTGTGAGGTTTTTGGGCTTTTTCTGGTAAGATCTAGCCATGAATCCCTCTCTTTAACCTTGATTTAGGTTGGGTTTACTTTAATTGCTTTATTCCCTTCCAATTTCTGGTAGAGCCGTGAGTCCCCTGCAGAGAATTCCTGCCGGCCTCTTCCCCCCTGCAGCTTCGGTTCTTGCTGGAAAATTCTGGTAAGTTGTCGGCTTTTCCAAGCTTAAAATTACCCATTTAATTGTTGGGTTTTGTCCACTAAGTGCTGCCCTGTGCTTGTCCGAATTTTGTTGGAAAATGGGGGAATTCCGGTAGCATTTAAATGTGTTTTTGTGCTTGGTTTATGTAGAATCAGCTTAATTGGGCTGTTGTGATGTTGTGTAGGAGTAATCCCGTGACTTAGCCATTGTTGGCCAAAGCCGTGGGTCTCCATTGCTTGTCCGGGAAATAGGAATGAATTTTGGTAGCTTTAAATTATGTTTTTAAGTGTGGTTTAAGTAGAAAATTAGCTTGTTATGATTGTTGTGAGATTTTGGAGAGAAACCCCGTGAATTAGCTATGTTTTGCCAATTTTGGAAGTTGAGGTTACTGTTCATGGTTGTGTTCATGGGGCACTGTTCACGGGCACTGTTCACACACCGAGGGTTAACGATTAAAGGGGATTTAAAGGTCTAGTTTGTGATATAAGAATGAATTTGGAGATGTCCGATTATGTGGAAATTGATAGAAATAGCACTGTGATTAGGGGTAGTGCTAATGATGATTTACTGTGAAATTGTGGTAATGTGGTATTAATTGTGGAATATTGTGATTAGGTTTTGATCGTCTTGTCACCGTAGCACTTGGGTTAGCCTTCTGTTCTGTGCGAGTAAGGTAAGTAAATTATGGTAAAGCCCTTCGATTTTAAAGCATGTTTTCAATTGTTTTTGAGGTGGTGGCAAGGTGCAAATTGATTTTAAATTGATTTATCCGCATCTGTGTGTGATTAAACTGAAATGAAAATTGTGATGATTTTTATGAAAATCATTGTTTTTCTGGAATTGAGCATGATTGGAATGAAAATGGGAATTTCGTTGTTTTTCTAGAATGGAGCATGATTGGAATGAAAATGGGAATTTTGTTGTTTTTCTGGAATTGAGCATGATTGGAATGAAAATGAGGATTTTATTGATTTTCTGGAATTGAGTATGATTGAAATGAAAATGAGCATTTCATTGTTTTTCTGGAGTTGAGCATGCCTATTTGGAAATTGACTGAATTGTTTTGATGAACTGAGAGTTTTGTAAATTCTGAGTTTTTCTGTTAAATCCATGCTCACATGGAAATTTTCTGGTTTATTTCTGGAATTTGAGATTAAGTGTGAATTACGGATTTTCTGTAAATTCTGCATGGTTTTGTCTCGGATATAGTCATGATTATTGATTACTGTGCCCGCTAGTGGGAGGTTTATAAACGCTAGCACATGTCGACATGTATTTCTGTAGAACCAGTTCACCCTACCAATGGGGTGAAACATTGGTAATTACTGTCGCCTGCCAGTGGGAGTTGTAAACACTGGCACCATTACTGACGCTTGCCAGTGGGAGTTGTTAAACACTGGCACTTCTGTAACCTTGCCTATGGGGTTAAACATTGGCAACTACTGTGCCCGCCAGTAGGAGGTTTATAAACGCTGGCCATGACTTATAGATGAGACTACTGAACTGAGTTTTCTTCTGCATTGACGGTTTGTCATGAAACGTTTTGTTATTGAACTGAATCTGATTTTACATTGACGAGTTGTCATTGAATGCTTTGCAATTAAACTGAATCTGATTTTGTCACTGAGCGTTTTGGTTATATTAAAGTGTTTATCTGGCGTGCTTAAAAGTTTTACCCAAGGGCTATCCATATTTACTTACTGAGTTATCTCATAGTTTTCCTTGTCCACCATTTTAGGAAGCGAAACCGAGGACGGGGAAACCAAGGGGGAGTGACGAGTTAGAAGGCTAGCCACTTGGAATTTGATATAGATTTTAGATACAGATTATGATCTTGTAAGCTGGATTGTAATTGGAGGTTTATAGCTTCATTTAGTGGATTGTTAGTTTATAAGAGATTGGATCCTAGATTTGAGTTATTGGATTTTCAGATGTGATTTGAATAAGTTTCGAGCCTTGTGCACTTGTGGGACTTGTCTCACGAATGTACGGCGTCTGTCGCGCCTCGAATTCGGGTTTTGGGGCGTGACACCGGTAACAGAATAACATGACCATATCGGAGACAAAACAGGCTGAATTTAACAGAAAATCAGTCTTTACAATTAACTTTCAAATCATCAGGACAATCACATGAACTTCAAGTAGGCATGCTCAAATCCATAAAAATCATAAAAATTTTCAGTTCAAATCAGTCATACTTACTTTTGCATAAAACGGGTTTAGTCCCGCCACCACTTCAAAAACAAGTCAAAACATCTTTTAAAAACCGTGCGGGCACTACCATAAATTTACTTACCTTACTCGCTTAAAACCAAAGGCTCGATCTCAGTGCTAACTGATAGAACGATCAGGAACCTAATCAAAATATTCCACAGTTAATACCTCACTACCACAATTTCAAAGTGCTATTTCTATCAATCTCCACATAACTGAACATTCCCAAATTTATTCTTATATCACAAACTAAACATTCAAATCCTCGTTAATTATTAGCCCTCGGTGAACAGTACCTATGAACAGTACCCATAAATAGTACACGTGAACAGTAACTTCAACTTCCAAATTTGCAAAACCATAGCTAATCTCACAGGATTTTTCTCCGAAATCACAACAACCCAATTCAAGCTAATTTACACTTAAACTAAGCTTAAAAACATTGCTTAATCTACCAAAATTCCCCATTTCTCACGGGCAGGAGAGCATGGCTTTGGCAAACCACAACTCACACACACGGGATTTTCACACAAAACACCACAGCAGCCAATTCAAGTAATTCCCACATAATTTAAACAACAACACATTTAAGGGCTGCCAACTCATCCCCTACTTCCAGCAAGTTTCGGATAGAAAAAGGGCAATTCAAAAGCAGAAACCCAATCAACACAAGGCAATAACTACATGGATAAATTGGACTTAGAAGAGCCGACAACTTACCAGAATTCCAGCAAGCAAACCGGAGCTGGCAGAGAGAAGAAGCCGGCGGCATTTCTGCAGAGGGGCTCACGGGCTACCTCAAAATTGAGGGAAATAAAAGCAATTAAGGTAAACCCAGCCTAAATCAAGGTTAAAGAGAGGGATTCATGGCTAGATCTTACCAGAAAAGGCTCCAAAATCTCACACCCACATAGCAGCCGGCGGATAGGGGAGAAGAACAGAGTAGAACCAAGATTTTCTGGGTTGAGAGGGAAGATTCTAAGCCCCAAATCTTGTGATTTAACAAGAAAAGAAGAGAAATTTCATCAAGATCTCACCGGGTTTTCAAGAGGGAGAGAGTCGGTGGCTTGGGGGGGCTTGTCGGGGGAGAAGAAGAGAGGAAAAATGAAGATGAAGAGCAAAACACGTGGCTGAGGATAAAAATATCAGCCTTGATCCTTATCCTAATTTCCTTTCTTTTTAGTCCCTGAACTTTGAGAATATTTGCTATTAAGTTCATTAATAGTATTTCTTCACAATTAGGTCCCTAACTCACTTTAATGCTCTAGAAATTTTGGGGTATTACAATCTGTTTCTCCCCTAAAATAGAAATCGATTTTTTTTTTTGAAATAGAAAAGCCCAAGATTGCAATTTGCCAAATTCTAGTAGTTTTTATTGACACCAGTTGAATTGGTCAGACCGACCAAATCGAGAACTGATGAGTAAATCGGTTCAATCACTGGTTCGATTTTCAAAACCATGGTTTTGAATTCGACTCTTGTAAATGGAGAAACAGGTGTTGGGAGAGCTTCTCCCTTAATGGGGTCCGACACTACTCGATTCTGAATTAGTAAAGATCTAATATAGTTATTGGATACTGGAGAGATAATACAAAAAAATATTTTGGATGATCAGAGTGTTTTAAGTCAAATTTTCGTGTTGTTACAAGACTAATTTATTTTTTAAGAAATTTTATGAGTGCACCCCAATTAACTTAGTATATTAACAAAATTAAATTTTTTTAACTTATTTGATTTAAGGGGAGGAGGGCGAAAAAATTCTTTTATTTAATTATCAAAAAAATTAAAACTAATATTATAATAATGAATGAGTGTCATTGTTTCATAAATGTGACTATTTAAGTGCTAAAAGTAATTAATTTTACAATTATCTATATATATATAATGCTACCCTATGCATTAAATAAGGTATGCATTTATATA